AAAAATTTTTATTTATATTTTTTAAAAAGTATTAAATAGTTTAGTTATAAATATTTTATAAATTAACTTAGTAAAATTTTTCAAATAATATAAAATGCACCTATGGTGTTTATGGTGTTAATAAGGTTTTGGCTAAAATTTAAGATTAGGATGCAATTTTAGAGTAAGATAGGAGTTAGATATAAAGGTTTAAATTTTAGTTAGCATAAGGTTTTTTGGGATTCTGAACATTTTTACTTAGTATCTCTAAGAGGTGTTAGCTAGTACGTTTTTGAAATATAGCCAATTATGGTGTTCAACACCATAGGTGCAGATTAGTAGTATTGAAATTTTTTATAAAAAGGTTTATTAATTTAATTTTTAGTTTAATAAAACAACTTAAATTTATTTAAGTTTTAAAGTTAAATTTAAATTTTTATAAATTAAACTTTGATTTTTTAGTAATTTTTTTTACTTTTTATTATTAATTATATTTTAAAAAATATATATATAATTTTTTATATTTTTTTAATCAATTTAAAATTTTTATATTTAGTAACTAAAAAATATTATTATTTTCTGTCAATACTGTATATATTATTAAATAAAAATAAAACTTAACAATAGATGCAAGTTAATTTTCTTTTTTTATATTCATAAATTATATTAATAATATGATATGATATTAAAGAATTCTCTATTCTGATATATACTACACTATTATATGTTTTTTAATATTGTTATAAATTTATAGGTATTATTTTTGTAAATTTTTTCTAAGAGAATTATAGTCACTTGGCAATCTGTAAAAAACAAAAGAATGATTAAAAATTGTAAAAAACTAGCTGCAAAAATAGTATAAGTAATCTTCTCAAAAGAAACCAGAAGAAAACAGACAAAAATCTATTAAAAAACTCTTTAAAAAGAATCAAGAAAAGAATCTTTTGAAGTAAAAGCAAAAGCAATCAAAAATTGATATACAAAAATATAGCAAAGAAGATACAAAACTTTTTGCAAGCAAAAAAAGAAATAAAATATATATTAAACTTGTGCTTAATACACTATAGAACTATTTTTTGAGAATATATAAACAAGAAGATGTGAATTAATGTAAAAATAAAAATTAGTAGAGGTATTATATCTAGAAAAAATGAGAAACAAGTTATCCAAAGAGAAAAAAAAGTTAAATTCAAGTATAGTTGAAACAGAATTGAAATAAAGGAATTCGAAGATTAATATTTATATAGAGTAGATTATAATAAATTCTTTAGAAGAATGATATAATTGTTTTTTTCTAGTTGATTTTATTTTGAATAAAGTAGAAGTTAGTGAGACCAAAGTTAGTTAGAATTTTGTTGTGATAGTTATTTAAAAAGTTAATAAGAAAATCAATAAATTTGGTTAGTATATTAATTCTAGTAAAGAATCTTTAAAAAAGCTCTAGATTAACAGAATCATATACTTTATTCATATTGTAAGATATGAGCCAAAGTTGTTTAAAGTTATATATAGCATCTTTAATAATATTGTTAAGTATATAAATAGAAATAGAAACACAATTTTATAGTAAGACAATATAGTTATAAGAAGAGAGAATTAGGTCTTTAAAAAGATAATATTAAGTCAGTTAGTAAGAATTTTAGTATAAAGTTTTTAATATATTCAAGCAAACTAATTTGTCTGATATTAATTAGATTTCTATCAAAGATATATTTTTTGATATTAAAAATATTTTGCCTTCTTTCTATTAGTTAAGAATTCTGTTTGAAATTATATATCTGTTGAGTAATTAAATCTATATATAAGTTTATTATAGGTTTGTACTAACTATTTTTTACAATATTTAATGATATATTTATATAAATTTATTGTGAGTTTGCACTGACTAATCTTTAATATTCAGGGTAGTAATGTATATAGATATATTTAAACAAAGTTTGAATATATTTTACAAACAAAAATATTAATAGCTTAAAATTTTACTAATAATTTTATTTAATGCATTAATTAAAAAATGTTTAACTACTAATTTATATAGATTATATAATTTTATCTAATATTTTTAGATATTCTATAGAATAGGTGAGCAATATAAGAAATAAGCTTCACTAATAATTAGTAATCATTAATTTTTTAATAGCAGAGTTGTGGAGTTTGCAGAGTTTACCCACCTATTCTATAAAATATCTATATTTTTAAACTATATAAAAGAATAAACATGCTTAGACATTCTTAAACTTAAATAATGAATATACAAAATAAGCTTAGATATAGTAATATAATAATACTGTTTAGAAGTATATTTATCTCTTTATATTTTTAATTATAACTTCTTGCAATATACATTTTTAAGTATAAATACTATATTCAGTACTTTATAATTAATTTTTAATTAGGATTAGCTTTGTAAAATCTTTATACAATGAGTTCAATATGTTTTTTAAATTAACTTGGTATAACAACAATTATAATTGAAGACCAAACAAATTAAGTTCATATATTCTTTTTATAAAAGAATATTCAAGATAGAGTTTTAAAATAATATTACTATTATTAAAAATTGAACTCTAAAGCTTAATACTTAGAATGTGACAATTTAACTACTTCACTAAATTGCTATACTTTTACAATTTAAAATACTATTTGCTATTAAGACTACTAAATACAATCTGTATAATATTTATATTAATTATTATATTTGTATATTATACAAATCTATATTTATGTTTATTGCACACCATTATTTATTATTGACTTGTAGAACTATAATTAAATATAAATAACAAACTTTTAATATTGATAATGGATAACACCTGATACCAAGCAATTTCTAAATAACAAATTGATGAATAATGAAATCTATAGCAAAATAGCAAAACTTATGATTGGTTACTATATTTATTATTAACTTTTTTATCTAATTCTTATTTTTATTTGATAATATTATACAATTTATTATTTTTATAATCTCTGGTCAAATATAGATTTAGTTTTAAGCTTTATTTTCATAATTACAGTATAAAATTTTATTGAATAAATTATAATAATAACAATACTTACATTGTTAATTACCATCCTTTTTGCATTATAATCAACTAATTAAGTAGTAGATTGCAGTTGGAGGTATAAATTTCATAGTAGAAATCAGCGGAGAATTGCTATTACCTTCATAGTAGAAATCAGCGGAGAATTGCTATTACTTTCATATAATGCTGGAATGTCAAAAGTTTCTGGTAATATATAAAAATTAAATAGTCATGAAGGTGAAAATACCAATAACTCGCAATCTGCTAAACTAATTTTAATAATCCTACCACTATTAGAACTGGAATAGCTTGCTCTATAATAATTGTCAGAAACTCAAGGAAGGTTTACATGATATAAAAACTTTTCATTGTAAGCTAGCTGCATTCTACCTCTATAGAAAACTATATTTTCTTCCGATAATTTCTACTATTAAATTTGTTATTTTTATACCCTTTAACAGCGATTTGCCTCTTAATAACTTTTATAAATAAAAACAATTGCATTAAAAAAAGGAAAGAAAAAAAATGCACAATCACTAAGGCACATTACGATGTATCACTCGCAAATCCTTAGAAATAAATACTAATGATTCGTGTGTGATTTTTATAAAAATAAAATTCAGAAGATTTATACATTTAAACAACAGTTTGCAAAAGAATAGTTTTAGGTTATATAAAAAGATTAACTTGAATGACACACAAGCATCGAAATAAATATTGACAACCAAATAATAACTTTATGAACTTATTCAACATTTGAGTTAACATGTGCCATAATAGTCTTTGAATCAGTGTCCTATTATTTATTCACATAATATATACTGCACATTTAAATTATTAGTTACGGTAAAATAGGATTTATTGTTTTAGTTCAAATTTATGAACTTTATACATATCCCGTCTTTTTATCACTGGTATCTAGGATTTTTTTGATAGCATCGGTAATCGGACGAGGGGTGAAGGTAAATTTATCATTATGAAAATCTTTAAAATCAAGTGTGGTGACTAAATAGGCTGCCCAATCATCCAACAATGCAGGAACTGGGTCGGTATTATTTTTATACCTTTCTCTCACGGTTAAATCATAGGAAACTTCCCATTTTGAGCCTAAAAGTAAAACAAAAAAGATTAATTAATGTTTAAATACGAGCATTGTTGCTCAAATGAAACTTACCAGTAACCTCCTCAAACTTTTGAACCAATTCATTCAGGGTTAAAACACAACCAGCCACTCTGATAATGCCATTACGAGCAGCAGGTAGTTTAAGTGACTCGACAGTATATTTGCCAACATCAGACAAAGCAGTGGTGACTACTTTTGTGTTACCATCAGCGAATAAATTGGCTTTCTTGTTTTTATGATCAAATCCTAATACCCACAAATATTCTTGAAATAAACCATCAATAATAATAGTGTATTCCATCCCACTTTTTTTCAATTCTTGAAGAAATTCAACTTTAGGCGTGTGGAATTGATGAAGGTCACTATTTTAACGCCAAAAGAGAAAGAATTTTAAACAATATAATTACAATAATTCAGCAGAAAGAGAAAAATTAAATAAGATTTTAAAAAACGATGTAATAATGATAACTTACGTTAGTGCGTAAATGTCAGTACCAAATTCAGATGGGATGAATCTCTTTACACCAACTTCTTTCGCAGCAACAAAAAGAGCACGTTGAGGAGGAATAAATTCGTGGCCACCTATAGCACAGATAACGACATCTGTTCCTTTAAGGGCTTTAACAAGATCATCCTTGTCATTGTAGTCTACGTAAATAGTTTCAGCACCTTTGGAAGCCAACAAACTGGCATTCTTATTTTCGGACTCTGGTTTCTGTCGAAGAATCTTAATCTTATAAGAACCATCATTCAAAAAAGCATCTGCTATATGGAAACCTAATAGACCAGTCGCACCAGCGATAGTTACTATTTTGAATGTTGAGCTTTTCATGATGAATTGTTGAATGTCTTAATTTGTTTTTATTGTCGAAGGCTCCTTCATTAGCTTCATTATTTATATTTTTTTTTAATTTATTATCTGCCTATTCGTATATGACTAAACAGACTGCAACACCTATTGAACCATTAATCAGCTTTATTACTCAGCTATTCTTGTGAAACGATTTGGGTATCATAACATTAGTAATTATTATTAATCAATCAACGTTAAAAAAATCGCTTTGTCGGAAACATGTATATAGTTTTATTTAAATTTTTTAGTCTAGGTAAGAGTAATTTTTTTCGCTTGCAGTAACCTATTATCATATAGTTAATATTTTTACGAAATTAAGTCAATTGGTTACTGGTCTGATCGGTGTGACCAAATTTGTCGAAAAGTACAAATTGGGGATAGATTAGACATTCGGCAAAATTTAGGGTCGGAATACGCTTGGAGCTAGACCTATTGATCACCGGTCTACATATTCTCAATAACCACCTGACAACTTTTTTTATTTTAATTATACACATTCATACAATTAAAATAAAAAAAACCTTTTGTCTGATGTCTATCGAGAAAGGTTAATAAAATCTGACCTGCCCAATAAAAAAAAAACTGTAATTATGCAGTAATTATATTGTAAATACTGAAAATATATTGATAATGACTGAAAAATATTGAAAATATACCAAAATGTTGCAAAAAACTGAACGTTTTGAGTTAATCAAAATATATAGAAAATATCTAGTAAATATATAGAAAATACGCCAAAATTACAATTACAGTCTAACCTCCCTATAATCAATGAGTTTTCGGCCGATTCGATTAAGTTATTGATTTCTGCAATGATCGGTGTATATTTTTACATGTAAGATAATTTTATTATTAAAGGTAGATGCGCGATGCTGTCGCAGGTACATAGACAACTATATTTATAATTATATACGCTAATTCTTACATTATACGTATCATAAAGTTTTTGATTAGATCGCTAAATCGATATGAATAAATTGAACCTAAATGAAAGGTTTAACAGTATTGTAACTAAAAATTGCATATATAGGTGGTCTGCAATCCCGTTCCAACTAATAATGTTCGAACTAAAATGGAAACTTTATACATTTTTAAGTAACACGGATATCTGTAAATGTATCATTTTCATCGAATTTTTACGGAGGCCACGGAGAAATAATGGAAATATTCGGATAAATTTTTTTATATGGTAAAACGCATTAAAAATTAAAAAATGAACTATGTTACAAACACAAAATTCAAAATTTGTTAACGTATGCATCGGGTGTATTATAGTTCCGCTTTCGATACGTATAATATTCGTGTTGAATAGACCGATACTTTTTATACTGTTATAGTAACAAGAATGTAGATCATGTCATGAAGCACTGTAGATCTTATGTCATGAGAATAATCAATGTCATGAGGATCAATCAAAAAAGTAGATCATTATGTCATGGACTCATGGTTTTATGTCAGGCTACTATACCAAATCAAAATCAATATTTGCAAAACTTGATACACTCGTTTCACTACGTTCCTGTATGATATCGACACATTCAATATTAAATTTTTGTTTGAATACTTACCCAACATGTTTGGTGTGTTTAGTTGGTACGAAATTTATACAAAGACTATCAAGAAATACAAAAAAGGCTCCGAATAAAAATTCGCAAATATATTACGTACATAAATAAATGCTAATATTACAAAGGTTAGATATTAAATAAAAAAGAGGCAAATTTTTTTTAAGTTTTCTTTAAACTTAAATATTTCAACAACTATCTAATCAAATTTAATAATTCTTTTTACTTTAATTCTATGTAATTCTAAGATTAAAATAAAATTTTTTTATCAAATTTAATTAGATAGTGTTGATTTAAAAATTAAAAAAATTTACTAAAATTGATTTGTCACCCCCCATTTGTCGAAAATGAACTACAAAAGCTTTTTAATACATCCATTTCTTTTAAATGCTTGAGAACTCGATTTGCTAACACCTAAGTATTTAACAATTTTTTGATTTATTAAGTCCTCTAAAGTTTTTTTTTTATTTGCCCACGAAGATGCTTTAAAAGTAGATATGCATATATAGTCTTATAACATTCCCTATAAAAAATATCCTTTGGAATTATTCTGAAATTATCCGATTTTTTGTTTGGTAAATCGACCCCGTATTAAATATTTACAGAATGTTTATGCGTTTTTGTACGATAAACATTTAATTAAATATTCTCTATTTTAACGTAGCCGTAATGAAAACAGTATAAGAATAAACCCCTGTTCAAAAATCGACACCATTCGAACAATTTTAGAACGAAAATTTTATAGGAATTTATATTAGTCACCTGATCTTAAATTTCATCTATTGAATATATTATGCCGAAATTAATAACTTAACCGAATCGGCCGAAAAATCATTCTGCTAATTTTTTGTCAAGTGTCCCGTCTATTAGTAAGCTAATTTTTCTTTAAATTTTGAGTGAAAAAAAAACTTGAAGTTTTCTCGATAATGTTTTTATTTTAATACTATATATTATTATAACTTAAATTTTTTTTTCGATTTTTATTAGTGGTTGTCGAGAAAACCTGCTTAAAGTTTAGAAGGAATCTGTCCCATCTATTATCACGTTTTGCATTACCCGCCGACCCAACCCAAATTTTTTTTTTACAGCTATTTTCATAATTCCTGGAACACCTGATAAAAAATTGACCGAATGATGCTTCAACCGATTCGATTAAGTTTGTGAATTCGGCATAATAGATCCAATACAGCTGTTTTCATAATTCCCGGGACACCTGTAAAAAATTAGCCGAATGATTTTCAGCCGATCCGGTTAATTTATTATTTCGGCATAATATATTCAATAAAATTTGTACGTGCGTACATACGCATCAATTTTT